TTCTAAGTGTAAAGCCACTCAAGCCACTCATTCACCTAATCATTCTCATCTCGGCAACACTTAACTTATTGCTATAAGAGTTGGTGGCTCTACAAACTCAAATCAATCAAAGGCTAAACCCAAACATTAAATAAACATTTTAATATACCTACTACTATTAGGAGTGTGTCCCACCCTAATTGAGTTGTAACCCTAGAAAGGATAAACACCACTTAGAGACCAAGATATAACACCACTTAGAACGATAAACACCACTTAGAGACCAAGATATAACCGGCATCACTTGAAATCCTAGGACATAGCCTTAGAAAAAGAAAAGAGTTGGTGGCTCTACAAACTCAAATCAATCAAAGGCTAAACCCAAACATTAAATAAACATTTTAATATACCTACTACTATTAGGATTGGGTCCCATCCTAATTGAGTTGTAACCCTAGGATGCAAGAAAAGATGGGTGAAAGATATAAAAAGGATAAACACTACCTAGAGAACAAGATACAATCAAAGCTAACCTTAAAAATAGAAAAGAGGAGTCGGTGGCTCTACAAACTCAAATCGATAAAAAAAACTTTGCCCTAAACATCAATGAAAAACTTAGATATTCCTTCTACTATTAGAAGTCGGTCCCACTCTAATTAGGTTGTAATCCTAAACTTAAAAAGGGCCAACGGGCCCTACCTCAACCTAGACCAATCTAACCCAAGGCCTCTGCCCAACCACCTTGTCATTATATCGGGCTTGGTGGCTTCTAACTCCTATTGATATGAAGTCAAGTCGGCCACATTGAAGGTGGTGGAGCTATTATAATCTCTCAGGATTGAAGGGCCTTTGACTTCATCTCTAGAATCACTTGGAACTCATTGTCGGATGTACTCTCCCACAAAACACTTGTGAATGCTTCCCAACTTGTGAGTAATAATCTCTATCTATCTAAATTGGAACTTTGTGCTAAGAGTACTCTATAGAGTTTTTCAGAAAGTTGTGGTTCACTCCTCTCTTAAGTGAAGATAGAGTAAGCCTTCCCTAATGGTGGCAATCTTTGCGGTAAGTGAAGATAGCGTAAGCCTTCCTTAATGGTGGCAATTTTTGCGGTAAGATGTATATCAGAATATCATGAAACTCTCTCTATAGTGATTGTCCTGTGTCTGATATTAGCTCTTATGTCTCTCCATTCTATAACATCACCAAAATTGATCCCACTTGTGCCTCTCTCGTGGCAAGAGCAACTATAACCTCGGGCTCCGCAGAAGGTGGGAGAATTATATGTTTTCCGTATTTGATAAATGAGTAAATATTCTTGAACCCATCATACTGAGTCTTGGGATCAAACTATGACAGTCTCCCCAACAGAATGTGACAAGCGTCTATGGGTACAACATCACACCAGAATTAGTCATGTAATTAATCCCCAATAGAAAATTTTATGAGGCATCTTCTTAGTGCTAACCCTGCTCGCTTCTTCAACCAAGTCAAGGAATATGGCTAGAGAACATCCTCTCTGTCTCTCTCTTCAGATTCTCCTACTGCAAAGAGGCACTCTTCGTCATCTTTATGGCTACAAGTTTCACCCAGCTATCATTTGGTATCTCCTTGTACAAAAAAATTCTCTCAGTTGTCTGCAACCACTCAATGAAGCTATTTGGATTCATCCTCCCCTCGAAATTCAGCAAGTCTACCTTCACCCCCATGTCTACGTCTTCTCCAAAAATCACTCCATCCATCGGCCTCCTTTAATATAGAATCTTAAAGCAATGTGGTTTATTCTCCTCTTCAATGGTATCTTGTCCCTTTCTCCTCTTCGAGTCTCACTAGCACGATCAACCGTGATCTATCTATGGGTCGCTTCCTCAATCTCAATAAGACTTTGCTAAAATTGGCGGATTTCTCGCTGCAAGGTGAGGAGAAACACAACACAACCACTAGTAATTTTCTAATTGGCTTCTAGCACTTCTTGGTTACATGGGTAGAGTTTAAGCTTGGGGGATGAAAATACGTGTATGGGGTTGATTTAGGGTGCAAAAATAAGAATTAAGGTTGAGTTTGAAAATTAGCAATGGGGGGTTAGAGTTAGGTCAAGATTTGACTACAGTTTGATGGGCTTAGGTCTCCCTGCGATGGAGCTTGGCTTGGGCTAGCTCTGATATCAAGTGATACTAAAATCATTATGAAAGTAAGGTGAGGAGAAACACAACACAACTACTAGTGATTTATAGAAGCCGTAAATGTTTTATAGAAGCCATAAATTGAAAATACAATAAATTGAAAGCAAATTATGATTGTAAATAATAGGGAATTTTGTGTAGGTGGTGTCAGTTAGATTTTGGACCTTCGGGGTGGTGGCAAGGTGATTAGCAAGCTAGAATAGTTGTGGGAGTGCTGTCCTGGGCCACAGCCGTAAGGACATGGGCCAAAAGAGTAGTGGGGCTGGAGGTTTAGGTTGACAAAAGCAAGGGGGCAAGCCAGTACAGTCATGTGAAGGCTATTTTGGGTGGCACTGCGAGGAGGACACAAAAAATAGCAAGTTTACTATTTTCTGGGCGGCGGCAGCAGAAAGATAATGAATGGAATGTGGGAGTCATGTGGGATAGAGGATAGGAGAAATGTATAAGAAGGATAAACACCAACTTAAAATCAAGATATAGCTGGAGCACCAGTTGGAATCAGATTATACAGTCCTAGTAAAGAAAAGAGGAG